CCCATCCCCGAAAGTTTCTCAGCTGATTTCGGCTGTACTCAGCAAGCGCAGTACCGCTTCCAACTCAGATCTGAAACAAAATCAGTGGATGGCTGTTTTCTGACTTGTCGGCCCTACTGGTCCTCTGCAAATCGGTCGGCGGTCGGGGTCGGCGGTAGGCAGGTGTGCAACCATGGTCCTTGCTAATTGTCCTTGTGTTGTTCCAATTTTAATTTTTAACGGATGTCTCGAAGGACAGAACACAATATGTTTTTGCAATATTGATTTTTGTCATTTTCTTTTATGTTTTTTTTTTTCCACGTTTTGCAATCGATTTTGTTTGCGGTGTATTTACCCTTCTTTTTTTGTCTTCAATGTCGATTTTATGCCCTCCTTCATTCTTGCCTTTTTTTTTTCTTCTTTTCTTTCCGTTTTTTTTTTTTTTTTTTTCCGTTCTTGCCATGGTGGAGTGCCTATCCGATTTTGGTTTTCATGCACACTTTTGTATTTGTACCGTAGCTTATGCACAGGCAGACAGGTTAGGCGTTCAGAGACCAGTCTGTGTGCTTGCTTGCCTTTTTCAGACTTTTCAGTTTTGTTTGATCATTTTCCAGATTTTTCTTTAATTTTTTTGTTTGCAATTTTCGTTGTTGACCTTGCGCTTGTTCCGTGCTTCTTTTTTTGTTTTTTTTTCTGCACTTGTTTCTGACTTTGCCGTTCTTCTTCGTCGCCATCGTCGTGCACATGGTTGTGGTTTGTGTGTGTGCAGCTCTTCAACTTTGATGTTCATGAAGACATTCGTACTGTTGCAGACGCCACGATTGAGAAAGACGAGGTAAGTACGACGTAGAAAGGAAAAACTCAAAAAAAAAAGAAAAAAAAAGAAAAGGAACTGCAAGGAATGTCTCATTGTGTCTCTCATCAATTGCCAATATTCTGGGCCGAGGACCCCCCAAGCAAGCATGCAACTCTACTCTTTTCGCGACGTGGTAGAAGTATCTACGTTCTTCACACAAGTAGAAGACCTATATTGGTCGAGACTCCAGATACATACGTAAAATGAGCACCCGTCCTGTTCGGGTAACAACGGCAGCCTCGTGGCTGAATGGTATTACTATTTGCAGTACTATGCACATGTGGATGATGATAAACAGATCACGCGTTCAAATCTTCGAAACTTCATGTCCTAATGGATCGGAGACGTTGATGTTAGGGGATGGACGGATGGAACAACTCTGCTGTGTGATAGAGTCTGTATGGCGGCAGAGTCTCTCTCTCTCTCTCTCTCTCTCTCTCTCTCTTTTATCCACTGACTTGGTGTTCTGTCTGTGTTGATTGTGATTCTTGTTATTTGTTCTGCAGTCTCATGCAGGGAAGGTGGTGGAGAGGCACTGGTACGAGAAAAACAAACACATTTTTCCAGCATCAAGATGGGAGGTATGGATGAAGAAGAAACACAAGGATGTGCGCGAGCACACATGCAAACTCGCACACTCGCACACACACAGACATCACACAACGAATGTTTCATTTATGATTTCTATGCATGGGGGAGGCCCGAGTGGACGGGGCATTGATTTCTTCACCCTGTGGGAAGGATGTACCACCCCTCACCCCTGCCCAAGTTAGCAATGCCAGAGTACTGTCGAACTCCTGTCCCTGGGTGCCGACTTCAGCACTGCACTGTGCTGTCTCCCCTTTTTTTTTTCTTTTTTTTTTCCTGCTTCTTGTCCGTTTTTTTGAATTTTTTTCTGCTTTTTTTTTGTGTTTTTTTTTCCTGTTTTGAAAACTTTTTTTAAGTTTTTTCCTAGGCTACCAGAGTGGCCAGGTCCACTTGCCCGGCCGGGCCAAAAAGAAAAAAAGAAAAAAATAGAAATCATTTTTTAATTTAGATTTTTATTTTAAATTTGGTAAAGAATTTCGATGTGACCCTGAGGCAAAAGTTGTTCAGGTTATTTTTCTGCATAACATAGTTGTTTTTCGGTTTTTTTTTTTTTTTTTGGCTGGGACCTTCGCTGGTGCTTGCACGGCCGGGCCGCCCGGGAAAATAGGGTGACCCGGGCGGCCCGGCTGGCAACTTTTCCCCCCTTTTTTTTTCAACTTTTTTCCCCCCCTTTTTTTTTCCCTGTTTTTTTTTTCCCTGTTTTTTTTCCCTGTTTCTTTTTTCTGTTTTTTTTTCCGATTTTAGGCTACCAGAGTGGGCCGGGACCACTTGTCCGGCCAGGCCAAAAAATAAAATAATAATAATATTTTTATTTATTTTAAAATTGGTAAAGAATTTCGATGCGACCCTGAGGCAAAGGCTGTTCTGTTTATTTTCCTACATAACATAGTTTTTTTGCGGATTGTTTTTCTTTTTCTTTTTTCTTTTTTTCCCCCCGCTAGGACCCTCCCTGGTCCTTGAACGGCCGGGCCGCCCGGGAAATATGGTGACTCGGGCGGCCCGGCTGGGAGCCTCATTTTTGAATTTCTTTCCTGTTTGTTTTTTCTGTTTTTTTTGCCCCTAAAACGGAGATCTCCTGTCTTACCACCCTCCATCTCCCTCTTTTGCGTCACACGCCCCCCCCCCCGCCCCCCTCCCCCCTCTATGTATGAGGTGCATTTTTTCTTTCAAGTTTTTTCTTGTCTCATCACAGACCATCTCCTTCTTTGTTGTGTGTGTTAGGGGAGGTAGGGGGGGGGGCGTGTGTGTCATCACAGACCGTCTCCTTCTTTGTTGTGTGTTAGGGGAAGGGGGGGGGGGGGGGCATGTGTGTGTGCGTATTGTTGTATGTGGGTGGTATTCAATGAAAATTACATGGGAAATGAAGTGTGCTTGTTGCCAATTGCCGTCAATCCAAAACCTTTACAGAGTCGTCAGGAGGAATACCGTAAAGCTACTCACCACATGTCCAGGATGTACTGATGTTGCCTTTGGGCCCTAATCCCCTTTGGTTTTGCTAATCCCAATGCTTTTGTTGTTGCGTGTTTGTGTTCCCTCTGTGTGTGTGTGTGTGTGTGTGTAATGTGTGTGCATGTTTGCGCATGTGTGTGTG